CGGCCGGCTCCCGGCGGCTGCGGCTGCCCCGGGGCCGGGCGGCGAGCGGAGCCGAGCGGAGCGGAGCAGCCTCCAGGGTCCTAGTGCATCTCGCCTCTCGCGGCACCCGGGCGCTGCCCTGCTCATCCTCACGGAGACCATCTTCTGATGGCGCTGCCGGCTGGCCCAAGGCAAGGTTTGGCTTGAGGAAGCAAAGCCCCCGGTGAAAGCACCGCCCCGGGAGAAAAGGACTAAAGGATTCGACAGGAAAAGGGAAAGGTCAGTACCTTCCGCGCCCGGCATCGAACCTGCCTGCGCTCATGAGAAACTGATGAGAGCCTCAGGACTCAGCTGTGCGTCCTCATCACGCAGGACAGGAAAGGAAAACCGGCTCGGAAACAGGTGGGAAAGTGAGAGCGGGACTCCAAGTGCCCATGCTGTAGCACTACCACCATTCCAGGGTCCCTCCTGCCAAACGAAGGAAGGATCTTGACAAGCCAAAGATGCAGAGACGCAGAGAAATGCAGGAAGAACAGGCGGGGTGAGGCAGCTTTTACACCTGCAGATGTGGAATATGCCAGCACGCCCCGTTCCTGTCCCCCTGTTGCTACCTAGGTACATGGAGAGCAAACACAGCCGTGCAGGAGGGCAGAGATACAGCCCTCTGCACCTACACCCATTCCCTCAAACACACCAGCCTGGCCACAGTGGCAATTTCTGATGTATTTTCATTTTGCTCTCCTTGCCAATATTTCAACACCACTTGAAGATCAAACAGTAGAATTCTGTGATATTTTTACAGCTTTTATACTCTTTTAGTGAGATAGCCTTAAGTGACCTGAGATGACCTGGTCTGAGGTGCTAGAATTAGAAACAAGATTGAAACTGCTACTTTTATTGCCTTGAAGTGTTTCCTGTGGAAATGGGGATCAATTTTGTTAATAGTCTTCATTAACGTGTCTAGAGTCCTGCAGCCCAAACCAGACAAGGGATGGACAGACAAGCTCCACATGGGTGGAAACAGAGTTAAGTGAGCATCGACAGACTCCTCCTGAAAAGGAATAGGGACACAGCCAGAAAAACTAGCACACAGCGAACAGCCACGGGTAGAGTGAAATGAAAATTTATGGGAAGACCACTCTTTATTACAAGCATAATATAAATGTATCTGTTCACTTTGGGATAAACTCCTCCACTACATACTACACATGGTAGAACAGGACCGTTATTTAAAACCCAAAGTACCTGGCTCATGTTATGTTCTATCTATTGTGTCTCAGCAATCTGTCTTACTCCTATTTAAACCACAGCTCTATCATCTAGAGAACAAAAATTCTGGAGCTATATACATATTTTCAACATACAAATGAATGCAGGCTTAGAGTTAATACTACTATGTAGCACATGAAAAAAACCCAAACATCCTAAAGATTCAAAACAATATCTGAAAAATTTTACTTCACATACTGTTCCAAACCCTTCATTTCGTCTTGCAGCTGTGAGTGCACCCCACTGATACTAAAGAAATGTCTCCGTATTACAGATACTGAAGAAATGTAGGACTAGAACCCCAGGCCAGGTTTAGACCTGCTTCTTGCAGTGCTCCAGTATGAAGTTTCAGGATTTTAAGTGATAATTTTTGTTGTCAATAGGTAAATCTGGTTTGTCTTTCACATTTTTATTAAACAAGGAAAAATTAAATTTGTTAGAAAGCCAAAATTCAAGGATAGGTAAGATAACCAGAAACCAACTAGTTCACTCTAATCAAGTGTTTTCACAATATAGAGTGCATTAGATCTGTGCTATCAATTTCCCAATTAAAAGCATTTCTGAATCTAAATCATTAAAAAAAAAGCACAGGTGGCAATGCAAAGCAGATACTCCTATAGTCTCTATCAAATAGTTCAGAAATGAACACACTGAAACTGTGCTGCTTTATAAAAAAATAAAAAAAAATAAATCACTGTTTCTCGGTTCCAACTTATGCTTACAAGACAGATGCACCCTACAAACAAGGCAAACCAGCAGTGGGAAAAAGAGCAATCAGACATGGTAAAACACAGCTTTTTGAAAGAAAGTACATTGAATAAGTAGTTGATAGCACACATGTCCAATGTGCACAAAGCTTCTCAAGGATTCAAATGGGTACGAGCATCCTCCACATATTTATATGTGATGGCATCAAGTTTCACTGCGGGCTGCAATATTGAGTCCATGCCTTTAGGCTGGCATGTTCATTTAACATATGAGTCATTCAGGGTGGAAACAACATAACAGAAACATCCACAAACTAATGAATTGTGAAAGAACTATAATATTTTCCCCCTCGGGCTTCCACCTACTAAAGTGTCACAAATAAAGTTAATATCACAAAAATGATTTAGCAAAAGAGGAATTAAACACTAAATGACACTCAACTCTTTTACAAGTCAATCACTTGTTTTAACCATTTTTATTTGAAACAATGCCAGTCAGACCAGTCACCTTAGAAAAGATCAACAGAAAAAAGACATTCCAGCCTTGATTTTTATAACTACTGCAACTACATATAAGATACCTCTACCACATGGAAATTACAAATTAGGTTTTTCTTGATTGATACCCTCCAAAATTTGAGAGGGTTTAAAACTAAGAAGAGCCCACCTTCCCCTAAAAGCTGGTTTAAAATATAAACAGATCAAATAAATAAATAAACATTTGCCATGCAATGAACCAGAGCGAAAGATTAGCCTGGAAAAAAAAAAAAAAGTTGTGAGCAGCCGGACTTCCTCATCCCAAGTTACTACGATAGCCTAAAGCAGTTCACAGCAGTTTAAAAAACTACTTATAAATGTATCTAAGCAGCATGCATACTTGTCCAGTGCAGCTAGAGGAACCTAGTATGGCCTTACATTATAGTTGCTGATTTGTGTTATGTATTTTGGCACCGGAACGAGCGCATAGCACTTTAAGGGCCAGATTTTATCTCCCACCCACCTAGAAAGTAAAAATGAAAAGCTGAGTGTTGCGGAACGGGATATTAAATGGAAGTCACTATTAGTCACTTCCACACAAATCTAATTTCAAATGAGGAGACTGCTTGCAATCATCTTTTCAGAAACTGCCTTAAAGCAGGTGTAACTCATGCACTTATATCAGGTCTTTGGAGTCTGGCCACAGACCTCTCAGGAGTTCATTTACCTACCAGGCATTCTCTGTACTCCCTGTATCTTAGCAAGGATACTCTGTTTTGATTAATGCTTGCTTAAGTACCTATTAAGTTATGGTCCATGTCTATACTGTGCAACTGAACACGGTACAACTAGATCGTGTCAGCCAGCCTGGTACTCCTCCCTGCCCAGGACACTCTACAGTTTTGCTGTTCTCCTCAGATGCCCATCAGAAGTATCTGTATTAGCACAATGATGTGTCTGAGCTCCTTATCCTTGCCCCTCAACAGCGCTAAGGCCTCTGACAGGCGTGCAGTGGGCCAAATGCTGTTACCACTGCTACCCCTCACAGACATTAACCACCATCCCTCTGACCAACACTGAACATCCAATTAATGCCTAATCTGCTTGTGTATCGGCTCCTGAGCCACCACCGCTTTCAGCATGGCATAAGAAAATTAGGCGTTCTTGAGGCCTGTCAAAACCCTAATTTCACTGGAAGTAGCATGCTGCTGGAACAGGTCCCTGCTTCATCAGAAGAACGCTCAGTCTCTGTGCTGCTCTTTACTACATGGTGTATGCATACCCAGGACCTCAAAAGACCTTTAAGAAGCAGCTTGAAGAACTGCCAGCTGTTATCAGAACAGGTCCCACTGCAATACCAACCACCAGTGTGATTCAAAGAATAGGAAGAAAAAACAAAGGCACAAATTCTTTGTGAATTTTGAGATATCAGTATATATATTGATAAGAACATAATTGGTTTTGGTAAAACCAATAATTTTTGCTTAAGGAATTGCTGGCCTAAGCTATTTCAAAGACTAAATTAAAAGGAACCACTTCTACTATAGTATAGTTATAGGAAAGCTTCCACTGGTGTTTCTACTTGCATTTTCTAATTATGTACATTATTTATATAGCATGAAACTTATGAAAAAATGGTACCAGTATAGTCACTTAGCATGCAGCCGTTTTACTTTTTTTTTTTAACCTATACAAGGATTAAAAGTTTCCAGCTATGATTAATTTGCTAATAATTGGATAAGTGTTTCATATCTCCTGCAAAGTTGGATGCAATGCCTATTAGAACAGTTACATGTGTAGTGGTGAAATATGCCACCAGAGGTTAGTTATAACATACTCGAGTACACTCTGAGTGAAAAAAAAAATTGGTTATTTTAAATGGTAGTTCAAAAATATTCAGTTCTAAATATTCAGAGAAATAGGCTCACAAACAGTGAGCCATAAATGGCCATTAACTACTTCTCTAAAATAACATGCTTTTCTAAAAAGACACTTTAACGGGTTTTATATGCAAGAAGTAACTGCTAAGTAAACTAAAGTTGCTGTACACTGTTTCAGAATTTAAAATACTGCACAATATAGATCAATCCTCCTCCTTTTCACATTTTAAAAGAAATTTTCAATAAACAATGAGACAAATTGTCAGAGGTGCACCAACACATTTTACTGAGAACTATGATGTACTTTTCAAAAAATTACATGCAAATTCTTACCTGAATGCCACTACTTCTGAAGATGCCATATCCATTGTTATCCTTAAGAGATCCATCCAAATCCATCATTAATATCATGCTTGTTTTGCATTCAAGCTTTGGTATGTATTTCTGACAAGCAGCCCTCACCTACCAAAATGGTTTCTAGAAAGCAAATTTAAAAGCTGTAAGACATGGAAAACAAACCAACATTTGCAAACCACTGCAAGTGCAATGCAAACATAGTCAATATAAAATTCATTCTGAGATGTTCATCATATTATGCTGGACTGTAGTATAACCACAGTTATAACATTATACTTGCAAATCACTAGTTCACCTACAGAAAAACTGCAAGAGAAAAGTTCCTCTTATCCTGTTAAATCTCATATATCTCATCTCATTAGGGGTCATTTGCCTAGAAGTGATTTGTTATAAAAATGCAGGATAAAGGAATATTATTCTTAATCATATTTAAGGTCTTCTAAGGACTGATGAACATTGAAGTTCCATTATGCTGGACAGCGCATAAACACAGACCAGTAAAAGGTCCCCGATTATATAAAAGCCAACAGTCTAAACAGATAAGACAGCGTGGGGGAAAAGTTCACAAACAGCATGACTGTAGTAAATGTAACAGTAGTTCTATTTTGGGGGTGGCTTTTGCTTGCAAAGAAAATGGAAGGAGATATAGAGTAAGGAGGGCAGAGTAGGGGGAAAAAAGCATATGAAGTAAACAGGATTGAAGCAGAAGTAAAGAGGTAGAATGGACGGAAACAGAGTGGAACAAACAGTCAGTGAGCACAGGACAGAGAACAGCTAATTAAAGTAGTGTGTGTTCTCTGAATGGTCAAAGGTCCCTGGGCTTTTGGCTCTCTCTGTTCCTGCTAGTTACTCTCTGACTAGGTCTGTCCTTTCCTGCTCCCAGGCTTAGAGCAGAAGGGTTATACTGATTTTCAAATTTTTCCCCATCATGACTCCCTCCTCACCTTTTAATATGTGACCAAGATCTCTCCCTTACCTGTAGCCTCAAAACAGGAATCATTTGAATCTGCTCCACATTATCATTATAGAATGAGCACATGCAGATCATCCTTATTTGCAAGTGATTAAAGTTCTGATATTCTGACTTCAACTTTCTTAATTCTTTCTTAGGTAACATTGGACAAAATTCATTTACAGAGCAGAAAAGCGAGGCAAGACACTGATTTACAAAACAGCAATAGAAAGTTTGGTCAGAGTACATAAAACATTGTGTTCCATACTGAACAACAGAGAGTTAAGCTAAGATTCGGGGAGGGACAGCTGTTCTATAGGCTTTTGTGCACACAGCCAGATGGAAATATCCTAACTGTTCATGGTAAACTGTACTTGTTCTAGTATTAATTGAATAGATGAGGCTTATATCAGAAAGGAAGATGCATTTTTATTGTCAAAACACTCGTCGTTTATATCCTCTAAGATGGAGATAAATCCGTGTAAAGGGCAAGTTTGCCCACAAAAGCAAATTGAACCTATGAAACTGAAGTGGTGTAACTTTTTATGGGGCTCTATGGATAAGGGCAAATAAACTAGAATGAAGTCACTTTCTTCTGGTATAAGGTCTCCAATACAAATAGTTTATACAGGCATAGCAACTGCAATGTAATTAAAACACTTTCTGGAATTGGGCCAGCCCTCCTAGGTTGTTTCCTTCTATGCATAAATAAGATAGCGATATATACAGTTTTATACTGATACAGCTCTATTCACACTATGGGGAAAGACGGCTGATACTTTAATTATGCCAGTACAGATAAAATAGCAAAATGTCTGATAGAGAACTTAAGTGTCTGAGTTACAGTCCATTTACCTATTGCAAGATAGCAGCAATATTCCTAGTGTAGGCAAGGCTTTAGAGTACTAATTCTTAACTTAAAAAATAATCCCTCCTGTGTAATTCCCAGAACATCATCAGCCTTTGAAATGTTAATGGCATTACTAGAGACAAACCAGACTTTGAATTTCTGCCAGATTCTGTCAGGAGTTCAGCTGACAAGAGTTTTCTGTGTGACACTCAGGTGTCACTATTCTTTTCATAATACCTTTTCTTTTAAAAATAACTTTCTTCAGCAACAATCCTGTGATAATTTTGAATCTTGGTAAAAACACTGGTAGAAACAAAGTGCGTGTTTTGGCTTGAAAAATACACATAAAAGCAATTACTCCTCCTCAGCCAGACTACGGCTTTGGAAATTATCTCTGACTTGCAAATGACAATAACAGGCAAGTAGTTATCCAACAAAATCCCTTTAGTTCAGCTGCACAATAGTACTTCCACCACTGTCTATACTTTATTTGGTTGGTTGAAACAGCATCTGCAAATTCAGGCCGCAGTGTTAAAAAAACCACAACCTTTTTGCTTCTAAAGGAACAAACTTTAGTTACTATCCTAAATATTCCTTAAAGGAGAAAAGAACCGGGAAAAAAAGAAGTTTTAACTAGTGCATTCCCCTAAGGACAGTATGAATGGTATCTCCCAGACAACTGAGTTGAGACATCAGAATCACCTGATAAAACAAGAATGCATTTTCCTCCTTACTTATGACTTGTTTTACAGTAGCTTCCAAAACAGACTCGAGATAAAAGCACATATGCGGGACAGAAATTCAGTAATTCATTTAAGCTTAAATTATAATGTGCAAGTCTAGAAAATGTACCAATTATGTTTCTATAAGCTAGGAAAACTGTATGTAACAAAGGCATGCTTTTGTCTCCCTACCTCCCTCCCCCTGAAAATAATAACCCTACTCCCAGAAATCTTTGCATAAAGTAAAATATCTACAGTAGTAACTTGCTTATCAATGGTGAATTGCACGTGTTTCATTAAGTATTGACTGTAACCTAACTAGCACATATAAAGTACTGATAGCTATATCAATTATATTTTTTAAAAAAGGAAAATATTTATTCATAAGAACTTAAACTTGTTCTAATCTTAGGGATGCATTTGTGTTGCAAGCTGAGGTACTTAAATTTGGGGGTTTTGTTTGCTAGTTGGTCAGCCTCAGTAAGAACAAAAAAAATTGAAATAAAAATCAACAGTTCTTATAAACGAACTGTCATAAATAAGTAACAAGCACATACTTACGCAGAAAATCTTGTTACGCAAACATGACACCTCTGTATAGAAAGATTATCTCATTACAAATAGTTAATAGAGCACTTTAAGGACCTGCCAGTAAATGTAGTCTATAGTATATAGGAATTGTAATTTCTCAATGCTATGAATTTTTTTACCAAAGTAACTTCAACTAAAATATTTGTTACTCACAGAAAGCACCTAGAGTGATGCAATACTCTAAGTTTTAATTACTTTTAAATCAACCTCTGCTCATTTTGACACATGCAGAATTTTTAACAATGAGCTAATTTTTCCAATAGTCAGGAAAAAAAAAAGAGGATTTTTTTTTTCCTGTAGATTCCAAAGTTTTTTCCCCAAACCACTCAGCCAAGATTCTGTTTCCAGTTCTCAGAGGTCATTATTACTAAGGTGAGATTAATCTTAGAGATATCTCTCTCTCTATATATATATATATTTATATTCTGCTAAACAAAACACGGCTAGGAAATTCACTCCATATAGCACTTGCCTTTGGCCTGAGGTTGCTCCCCTAGAGATGTAAGATTCTATTCATTACCCTTTGTTCTGCGAAGGGCACTGAGCTAAACAAGGCTGGAAGTTGGGAACATAAACGACTGATATCTCCAGGATTCAATGGTCCAATAGGAAGTTAGTCCACAGCGAGTTGCAATGAAAGCCACTGCCTCTAAAAATGGAGGAGAGAAAAAGCAGTAGCTTTTTTGAAATAGGTCAAACTCTAACACCCTTACTTGGTGCTTAGAAGCAGAAGGCCGTGCCAAGACAGACACTGCTTATATGCTTAACAATCATGATCATATTCATCAATGAGCTAGAAAGTAAATAAATTCTAGAAGCAGTCCTGAACTTAGCAAAAAGATACGTCTCCTGCCATGGTCTTTAGCTAAATCAAAGCAGAGGCACTTCATCCATTTACAAACTGAAATACTTTACCCTTTAATTTAAGAGTGTCTTCGACTGAACCACTTGTCCTTTTGAAGTATCTGGAGTCCCAAAGCCAGGTCTCTAAATGACTGCTGTATTCAGAGTAACACATAACATGACGTCACTGACTATCTCTCTCTCATGTGCTGATTGGAGTCCTCCTTTGATACCAAGTACAGTAGTAGTATCCTGTAAGATGGTATTCCATAACTTGGACTGTAACCCCAAAAATGTATGCTTTTCCTTAGCCAGAAACTACTCTTCTCTAGTTCTTTCCTTCTGCTGTGCTGCAGCCTCTACTACATTTGGAAGAGATGTGTTACTTCAGACTAACTGTTCTGGCCATTGGGTGGTGTTAAACCAAACAACCAGGAAGCTGTATTGCTCACATACACAATTACCCCTTCCACAGCAGGATAATGAAGTTAGTCTTCAAGGCACTACACAGGCTTCAACACCTCTTCTTGGAGAGCATGATAGGAATGTGATATCCTCTCTTGGAAGACCCTGAAACTCCCATAGCCAGATTGCAGAAAAGGTAAGAAGAGTCGTAGAATCATAGAATGGTTAGAGTTGGAAGGGACCTTAAAGATCGAGTTCCAACCCCCCTGCCATGGGCAGGGACATCTCCACTAGACCAGGTTGCTCAAAGTCCCATCCAGCCTGGCCTTAAACACCTTCCAGGGATGGGGCATCCACAGCTTCTCTGGGCAACCTGTTCCAGTGCCTCACCACCCTCACAGTAAAGAATTTCTCTTCTGGTATCTAATCTAAATCTCCCCTCTTCCAATTTAAAACAATTACCCCTTGTCCTGTCACTACACTTCCTGACAGAGTCCCTCTCCGGCTCTCCTGTAGGCTCCCTTCAGATATTGGTAGGCTGCTATGAGGTCTCCCTGGTGCCTTCTCTTCTCCAGGCTGAACAACCCCAGCTGTCTCAGCCTGTCTTCATAGGAGAGGTGCTCCAGCCCTCTGATCATCTTCGTGGCCCTCCGCTGGACCCATTCCAACAGGCCCATGTGGGTTCCTGTGTTGAGGACTCCAAAGCTGGACACAGCACTCCAGGTGGGGTCTCATGAGTGCAGAGTAGAGGGGCAGAATCACCTCCCTCGACCTGCTGGCCACGCTTCTCTTGATGCAGCCCAGAAGGCGGTTGGATTTGTGGGCTGACAGTGCACAGTGCTGGCTCATGTTGAGCTTCTCATCCACCAACACCCCCAAGCCCTTCTCCTCAGGGCTGCTCTCCAGCCATTCTCCACCCAACCTGTATTTGTGCCTGGGATTGCCGTGTCCCAGGTGCAGGACCCTGCACTTGGCTTGGTTAAACTTCATGCAATTTGCACGAGCCCACCTCTCCAGCCTGGCCAGGTCCCTCTGGTTGGTATCCCTTCCCTCCAGTTTGTCGGCCGCACCACCAAGCTCGGTGTCATCGGCAAACTTGCTGAGGGTGCACTCTGTCCCACTGTCCATGTCTCCAACAAAGATGTTGAACACCACTGGTCCCAGTACGGACCCCCGAGGAACACCACTCCTCTTTCAAAAATGTAACTGATCAGCTCAATATGATAACATTGACATGGTGGGATCCAAGAGAAGAGTATTTAAGCTGGATGTTGATGATCAGGACAACAAATTTCTGGGCCTGCTGTCAAAAGAATATCATGATGGTGGGAATCAAAACCAGCATAGTTTGTTAGGTGGTACCCAGTCTGCTATCGTTGTAAAGATTACCTTAGGGCTTAACATCAGCTCTCACAGCCATCTAGCCCTCTCTCAGACATTCTTGGATCACGAGCCCCAGCAACAAGGTAAGATATGTCTCTCAGACAGGGGAGAAGCAGCTAATTGTGTTCCAAAGAGAAATGGAACAAAGATATTCCATTATACATCAATGTGCTAGGCACAAAGAGAGGTATGTGCTCAGTTTATATATATTGCCCAGATCCCGTGCTTCTAATTTACAGTGCTAATGGCACATACATACCTACAGCAACGTGGTCTGTCTCTTAAAAGATGACACTTTTCTAAGATTGAATGTGCTATCTGCTATGTGATTTATCTTTTTTCATTATCAAGAACACTTAGTAACTGTTGCTCAGGTTTTACATACCTTTACAAATTCAAGAGGTGCAGAAATTTGCCCCCAGTTGTTTAGGATACCTGTGACACCAGTTACAGGGATTACTGAACATTCTAAGGCAAAGAAAAAAAAAAAGATCTGTATTTTTCATCACCCCTGAAGAAACATACAGCTTACTAAAAGCATGTGATTTTTATCCCACTTACTTAACATTAAACAAAAACACTTGCATTTTAATAGTTTTGTTTAAGCAATTACTTGGCAGGAAGAGTTGCTTACTTTCTTAAACAAGACGATGGACTTCAGATGCACCTGTTTCTCTCACAGTCTATATTGCCTACAAAATTGAACACAGAAACCCCAAAATATCTCATTGATGTAAATGGTTCATTGAAGTTAAATATTTTTTAAAAGTAATACATGTATTTCTTTGATTTGTTGTAATCTTTTTTCTTAAAGAAAAGAATTTCTTTTCTTTCTCTGCATTTTTATTCTTGATCTTTATCTCAAAGTAATTATCTTTTACAGCATCTTTCTGTTTTTGAAGAAGGCAAGGATATAAGTCTATAATTGAAATTTGGTCTATAATTGAAATTTTTTGAAAAAAATCCTGAAAGCTTTAATGTTTTCCTCTTTGAAACATTACCACACAGAAGAAAAACTTTTTGCTTTTTAAATAGGAAACTTTTTTTCTCTTTTTGTACCAATTACAGAACTGTTTTCCACCTGCACCCCTGCCCCCTCCAAAAACAGAGAGTGAAAGAGGACCCTGAATGATAAATTAGGAAAGATTACTGGAGATGGCCATAACAGTTCCTGTTCCCATTGCCCACCCTGTTCCTCTCCAAGTTTCCTGCCTCCACTAATTTGGTAGCAGTACCTGCTGCACCACTGTACTTTCCAAAAGCAGAAATAAACGTAAAGCCGTACCAGTTCTGAGTGACTTTAAGGCTGTAGGTTACAAACTGCACTGGACTGTTGCAACACACACAACGGAGCTACCCTCTCCCTGGAGAAAGCGGGGACCAGCTGGAGCAGGAAACAAACCAAGTTAATCCCATGATCTGAACAGAGCCCCTAACACTTACTCCAGTAGAGAAGCTGTTACTTCTAAATTATGCATGCATTACCAAAAGACATCTCTGTCTTTGCAAAATGGAAATTGCAGTAGCTGAACTAGCCACGTACCCATGGCTGCATGTTGGAAAACAAGATAAAAATGTGGCTGGGAATAGAACTAGACATTCATGTTCTGTACCAGTAAAGAAGTCCTCTTTAGAAACAGTACTGCTGAAATGTTAAATAACTATATAGTGCTCAAACTGTAACTAACAAATCCTCTCACAAATATAGGCATATCTATTTTAAATGTTAAGTGGAAAATATTTATAGTTTAAGTTGCACCCTTTGCTACTTAATTATCATAATTTAAATCAGAAGAAACCTTTAAGTTCCTCCTCCAAATAAGTTATTTACCTGAACTGTAGCTTGGGAGTCCCCAGTAGTCAGTCTGTTCTGAGATTCTCATCCCACTGAATGTCAAAGACCTAGCATTTCAAGGATGGGATTTCAAAATCACTTGGTGATGACTTAACTTTGTCTCACTAAAGATAAACCAACCTTTATTCCCACTCAGGTCATCTCATTGATTTCAGGGAAAACACATTTAGCATTCAGCAGAGTTGAATACTTTCAGAAATTCTATCCATGAGACAAAAAGGAAAAACAACAAACAGAAACTGATATAAACCATTTGAGACCTTTTGATGTAGGATAAATCAAGTATTTTTGTATATTTGTGTGCATTACAAGTAATTGAAATTACTTTTAACTGCTCACAGAAATAATATGATCTCAAATATCTTCCCTCCTTACTCTTCAGATACAAGACTCTGTTTATTCCTTGAGGAAAACCCATTTTTGTCCGTGTACAGGAAGTTGTGCTAGGAACAACCATAATACTGAACTTGCTTTGTGTTTTACTCTTGTCCCACTTGAGCTTCTGTGGAACTGTGTTCAGTAACAGTTTGACCTCACGTACTGCCAGAAGCCATTCTCACCAACAGCAAAACCTATTAAGCTTAAGAATATTATTCTTTAAATATATTAAAAATTAAGTCAGATGCATCAAGCCCTTGGTTTTTATAATTCTGCACATCTATAAAAAAAGCATTCTGAAATTGGTTTCTGGTAGACACTATTCATAGCATCCATAGTGCACAATAAAACCAGAAAAATTAAGAAATATCTCCAGAATGAATTTAAATGCATTTCAACTTGTAGAACTTCACTGAGGCAACAGCCTCATTTTCACTGGTGCTGTCCCTACTTGGAGTTCCCTACTAACATTTCAAAAGCTTTTCTTAAATAGTTCCTAATTTTTAATTATCCATTACATTTATAAAGCCTTTATTTAAAAGACTCTCCACATTTTCTCTAAGTATAAGGGGATTAAAGTAAAGGCTTATACTGAAAAAGCACTGTTCTTTCTATGTCACCGAAGTTCTTAAGCATCAGTACTGTACCAGGATGACATTGATATAAAGTTAAGCATGTGCATAAAAACATGCAGAACAGGAAACTTTGTTACTGGACCCCAAAAATATGACAGTATTAATTTTTTTAAATCTAGTTCTTTTCAGTCTGAGGGATTTTTAGCAAGACAAATGGTATTGTTAACATCAGATCATATATAGAAATATATCTTTATAGATGCATATATGTAAGTAATCCAGTAATTTAGCAACAAAGAAGACAGGTATCATAAAAACGTTCTAGATTTGTATGCACCACTGAAAAGGCTGACAAACTATATACTCTGTTGTTCTGATAAGAAGCAATTTGGCTGTTTATTTTTTTTCAAATTATCACTTGTTTGACTGCTGGTTGGAATACCAACCCCCACAGTTTGCAATGAGAACACAGGAAAAGACATTCAAGTACCTGTTTAAATATTCCTAATTATTTTATTACTCTACTGCTAACACTTCTTACTGAATGTACATTGCATACAATTCCCATGCAGAATATGACTATAAACCAGCCTCTGCTGTGAAGTCATTATGTTATACAAATCATGGAATTGTCAGAGTTGGAAAGGACATAAACACAACATACAGTAACCATTCATGTAAAATTAAATCCTGATCCAGTGCTAACATGCCAAGATTTAAGGATCTACTTTAGAAAAAAATTCTGATTGGCAGAAAATTCAAAAGCTGATTTTTTAAAATAGAAAATTTGAAAATATTTCAAGTTGTGAAAATCTGACCATGACTTCTTTTTTATTTCCCCTGACTGATTTGAGACTTAGTTATTAACAGTTACATTGAAACCAACAACTCTGGCTTAGCAAAATACTGAATTCAGAAAATAAAGAAAAATGTAAGGAAACTCTGAAAGAGAACTTGTAACAAAAGGGAATTGTGTCATTACTATCATCATAGTCTCTATCCTCAACAGCTACTCCAGAGATAATAAATTATACTAAAACAACTTTCCAGACAACAATTTCCCTCTGTGCATCTCCTAAGGATGTGTGCCACTGCATGTGCTTTTCATTTCAGGATACTTTACATGGGAAATGACCAACACAAAGGCTGACAGGCTCTGACATGACACTGCACGTATAGTAATTTAAACAAAATGCCAGCCTACCAAAAAACAAATAAGTATAATTAAAAAAAATAACAAAGAAAAAGTACTTACCTGAACTTGACAAAGCACCTCTTAGCTGCAGCTGTACTGTTCCCAAATGAGGACTCTTCCTTGCAAATAAGTGAGCTTCCTTCACATCATTATTCTGTGGCACAGGCTCCTCCAAATGGCAGAATGAATGTATTGCCATTATTGAAAATTTACAGATAATCTGAAGAAATTGAACTGAAAGCAAAAAATAAAGTGTGTTTGATTTGTGTAAACTTAGTGAATTTATTTAATTTTCAAGAACTTGTTACTTATCAATAGCATTTTAAAAACCACATAGAGGATATATGTCTGCATTGATCGATAAAGTAGGTGCAAATGACTTCTGCAATTAAACCAGATGGACAGTTTATTTGAGCAGCAATGTCCAGGTAAAGAACTTAAATTTAATGGTACTGTGGAGCACCATTTCATAAATTTCAGGGCTGTTTCTTTTACAGTGAGCACACTGCAAAGAAGTTTTCACATGTATTTTTGCAGAACATTTACTTGTAATTTAGAATTATCTTCAAGTAGTTCAAGTTATTCCTTCCACTGTGAATTATTTTGTAACTGCAAATACTGAACAATATGTATCATTATTATGCTAACATATCCAGCCTTAGAAGATTGCCCTCAAGCAACTGTCTCAGATTTTACAGAATGTATGTAGTATTTTACCATGGATGCTTATTTGATGACAAGATTAGTAACTTTTAAAATAGATTCTAAAGGCATAATTTGATGAACGTGTATTTAGGTAAAAGTACCAAATCAAACAGAGGTGACCCTCCTGCTTATCCCTGTTCCACAAGCTCATTTGTGCAGATGGATCTGCTGGTGGAGCCACTCACGGTATCATTTTGAGGAACTAACTCGGGTTAAAAATTGCTGTTTGCAGTAGACTCCTCTTGAAGTCAGGATCAATTTTCTGATCCAAGTCATTGCATGATGACACAAATGACTATGCTAATACAACAGAAGGGAAAATGAGACAAGAGCACATTGCTGACTCCAGCTACAAGTGTCAGTACTTCAGAAACTACTGTTGTCACAGAAATGTAAGTTACAAGGTAGATCACAGCTTTGCCACTGAAAGCAGTATAGGGTATTCTTGGACTGCTTTAACTTTCATTTCCACCTCTGTATCACAGTTTGCTATCTCCTCAATTGCACCAAAAATCAGTGCTTGTAGGGCCACACCAAAATCGTTTGGGTTACAGAAACAGTTTCCTGCCAAAGACCATACATTGTAAATTTAAGAAGGTGCGATGAACTACACACGGCACGTGAGTATACGAATATATACGTGGGTGCATCTCTCTTTTCCACCAACAACAGAAGCAATTTAGACTGTTGTTTAGACAACTAAAGACAGGTTAATGCCATTTGTTATGTCTGCCTAGGTTATGCCTGACCCTAACTTTTGAATCCACTACCTGATTTTAAACAGCTTTGTCAAAGAGGAAGATTCAAAAGTCATTTACAATTTAATAAGAATTCAAAGATTTCAGAATTCCAAGTAGTGGACTGGTGGGTAGAGAAGATAAACCCACAAACTGCCCAAACTGAAGGAGAGGCTGCAGCATATGCCCATGGTATTAGAAAGCAGACACATACATAAGAGAGGCACCTTATAATACCCCAGCTGCAGCTGGTACTTTTCATTATATCTAAGATACATCTACATAGGAAACTAAGTGCTGTTAAGTTTTGTGCTCACAGAACTGCTTAACTGTCCATTCAATATTCAAATCTACTTAAATGGCATTAAAGTATGAGTCCTTGGTCTGCAAATTCTGGCTCTGCTCCTTGCATTCAGCTTAAAAATACAGTACATACAATACTTGATATCTTCTGGTCTTCTGGCACAGCATCTCAACCTAACAAGATGCATTCTTAGCAGATCAGCCACTTCATCCTTTAGAACCTCAGAACTAATGAATCACATCAAGTCCTCATGACTTAGGGGTCTTTAGCACTTTATTCGAGCATTCAGTCTTTGGATTCTCTAACCGGATAATGTCTCATCAACATTATTTGAAAAGAATAAAATGTTCGCGATATCTTTTTGGTGAAAAGTAGCATAAAGAAATCACTCCACTCCTTCCTTGCGCCTCTTATTCCTTTTCATTGCTTTCTATACTCCCTAAAAGTCCAACAGAACTGTCAAGTCCTTAACACATTACTTACTATGTTACCATCCTCCTTTTCTTTTTAAGTAAAAGCATACAAATAACCAAGTACTTTCCTGAAATATGCTGCTACCAATAAGACACGGTAACAACTATATTCTGTTACTGTGCTTAATTCACGTACTTGAAGTGCTGAAATATTACATAAAAACATTTCTGATCACATGCATGTGAAAACGATTGGCCTTTTACAGCCAGTAGTTTTGAGATTTCCTCTCTTATCACCAACTACTCTTTAAAAGTAAGCAATTAACAATACTAAATGAGAAGAGAAAAGATGTATCAACATGTACAAATTTTATCCAAACATAAGAATTCCTCATACATCTTAATGAGAAGGATCATACTACTGTTAATCAAAATACAATTTCCTAAATAATGGTAAAGACTGTTCATCTTAATATTCACTTAACATGTATCGTATATTAAACAGTTGTGTCTTGAGATCTATATATATTCAAGAATCTACATAGTATATTCTAACCATGGAAAGTTTTGTTGGGCTTTTTTTGGGTGCTGGTGGTGGTTTTGTTTTGTTTGTTGGTTGGATTTGGTTTTTTTTTTAAATATAAGTATGCCCTCTCACATTCAGAGTCCTTCCTTTGGAAAGTTTTTAGGGTCTCAAGCCTTTCTTAGTCTGTTAACCTGCACTGATGGCTTTGGTACCCTAGTCTCAGTGGTGAAATACCTGGTAAGCTTAAGTCCATTCACACAGCTCAACTGCACATAAAGCATCAAATATTCAGGCACTCTACTCTGGACTAGTTTCAGAACTGGAACCAAGTCAACTGAATGCTAGGAAGGAATTCCTAGACAAGGAATTCAATCCAATAGACAAAAAGGCATGGGTGTATCTCTCTTACCATTTTAAATCTTAAACTTGGGTCAAATTTGCAACTCTGTGCTACAACATGATGCAGTAGGTAAAATAATTGCAATGATTTCCTAGGACTTAGCTTATTAAATTAATACTTTTTTTTATAAATGAAATATCTATTTACATAATGCAAGTGTGATAATCATAAAATCCTTGTAGTTGGAACAGAGATCAGAGGTCCTCTAGTTCAACCTCCAGCTCAAAAAAGCATTAATATGTGAATACTCATTAACGATACAGGTCGCACTCTTAACCTTGCAGACCACTAATCGCATGTAATCCTTAATCAAATGCACTCAACTCCCTTTGATAGGATTACTTATCTGCAGAAGGGTTTGTGGGACCACTTACTTGCCAGACATTATTCCTAAGCATGGCACATTATAGTACTTCCCAGCTACCCCAGTAACCAGTATCACACTTTCATTTCACTTTAAACATCTTTTGAGCAGGTACCGTTTTGAGAGCAGTTTTGGAAGCAGGCCTGCTGTACATGAATAGACTTTGGTATTTGAGAATAGGATGGACTGAAATGGAGGGTGATTGACCAGTCAGCGAGGCAGGAAGCATAGAGTTGGGTCCTGGTTTCAGGTGTGTTTCACAGATTGATAAAAGTAGGATAGAGGTCCTGCTCTGAGAGGTACCTATAAAACCAGGAAAATTAACACTATTCATACCAATGGCCTTTTAATCATCAATGCCAGGGCCTGAACTTCAGCAGAGTAAGTTTGGGAAGTTCTGCTTTAGTAGTGCGGTTTATTTTGTTGCTGTAATTTTCCTCTGATAAGGATCTTCATTTTGGATTTGTATTCAAGTTTACACCGTTTCTTTCATACACAAAGAAGTGACTTAATATGGTACAGCATTGCTAATAAAAAAAAAAAGCTTTAGTAGTGCGGTTTATTTTGTTGCTGTAATTTTCCTCTGATAAGGATCTTCATTTTGGATTTGTATTCAAGTTTACACCGTTTCTTTCATGCACAAAGAAGTGACTTAATATGGTACAGCATTGCTAATAAAAAAAAAAAAAAGGAAAAAAAATCACTAAAACAATCCAAAGAAACAAGAAGAAAAAAAAAGTTGAAACTTTTTGTAAACCACGATTACCAGACAACACAAGCTGTATTACAAAAGAAATTTGCCTTATATTAATTCAGTAACATACCTCTGTTCTGAAGCATAAAATACAGTAATGGTTTTTCTGTGCTGTGTGGCAATACATGAACTCTACCACAGTAACTAAATAGAAAAGAAAAATTCATTCTCTAAATAATGATTTTATTTAAACATTTATTACCTGCTTCTGTAAATAACAAGATATTAACACAACTTAATGAAATTAGGTTTATTTAAAACAGCTGAAAGAGAACATAATATTTTTATTTACTTTGTTAATTTATTAGCATTTCATGGTCATTTTTATTTACTGTGGACACTTTGGTGTAAACCATAAAAAGGCTCTTTGGGTGGTAACAACAGCAACAAAAAATAAACAGCAGCAGGATATATCCAAAGAAAGAAATTGACTTTAGCAGCTTCGATACCCTTGCTCTTAGGCTCATCTGAAAGGCATTTTTAAACACCAGTATTTAAAAAAAATACACTGAAAGCCTTTTAAATTCTACAGTTATTTACATGCCTTCCCAAAGCATTCATTAATAGCCACAGGCATATGCTAGGTTGCATAGAGGGCCTGTCCCTATTTGAACTGATATACTAGCTCTTAAAGTACAGGGTACTCCAAGAGTTTTTACTCTTAATTATCCACAAAAAGTGCTACACTTAGACCCCTCAACAAGCGTTCCTGCCAGTGTATAAGTGGCAGAAGTTAGGTCACATGAGGGTGCACATGCGTCAACCACACGATCATGAAAGATGCAGGTAGGAAGCAGCAAGAGACAAGAATCAAGCAAGCAATTTTAAAGCCAAAAAGTGAGATACCAGATGGATCCAAAAACTAAAAGAATATCTTCAGCAGCGAAATCTCCATCTTAGATATCTTTATAGTTTTTCCAAGAAACTTTAATATTTTTCTGATTAATGAAGCTGAATTAATTGATTCTACTAAATATTTAAGTTCCCCTTTAATATCAAAATATATTGCTTCGGTGTTTTAGAAAGTTAAATTTTACTAAAGAATACTCATTTGCAGCAAAACTAACTGCATTTCCATGTTTATAGAACCTTCTATAGTATTTGGCATTCTAGTTGAGATGGGAAGCTCAGTATCTGGCTACCAAGTAACAAGTCACTGTCCTAACACCTTGTCTGAGGGAGGAGTGAACAAATTGCAAGGAGACATGCTCGTGGTATCTTATACAAAGACAGAGATGCCCAAGCCTTGCCGGGTGCTGCTGCCATATAAAAAGCAGATGGTTGGATCTGAGTTTTCACCAAGGTGTGAAACTACTTTTCAGACAACTTTAACTAGAAAACAAACCAAAAAAAAAAAAAAAAAAAAAAAAAAAACAAACAAACAAAAAAAAACCACCACAACAAAAAAAACCAAACAAATACAAAACACACCACACCAAACGCCCACCAAAAACACCGCACCCACCAACTAAACCCCACACTCACTTTCCCGGTGGTCCTGTATCGCCTTTTATCCCTTGCTCTCCAGGCCGTCCTGGGAGTCCAGGTGGCCCCTGAAAGAAAGGGTTTGGAGAAGCAATCAGAAACACAGCATGTCCAGCAGCTCAAAAAAAATAAAAAAAAAAAAAAAAAAAAAAAAAAGGGTCAATTATACTGTATTGCATACAGAGAACGACAACAGTATACAGATAACATGACATCAGCATGCCTCAAAAACTTCTGCATTACACATCACAGCTTATATGAAAATTATCAGTGTGGCTAGTTAATAACAACTCTGATATAAAGAAAAAGCACTATCAGACTGAAAAGGACAATTACAGCGGTTCCCTTCTGTTTTAAAGGCAAAGGTAGAAATTATGCTTTGTGTAGAACAATTACTGAACATTATCACAGCCTTGGAACATATTATCTCTAATTTTAAAGTATAAAGAAAGGTTTAGAGATTGACAGGGAAGAAGACATACAATTAGACGCATTTAACAGGCCAGTAGGTTGCAACACATGAGAATGAGAGGGGTGATAAATTTACATCAGCAAACAAAAAGGCTGTAATATTTGGTTTCAGCTAGAAGTTAAAATATTGATATTTTAGGTTCCAGAGAAAAAAAAGTAATATTTTTTTGTCGCGACCATCATCTCCCCCGTCCATTCCCCACATTCCCCACCAACGCAGGACCTAAGAATTACAAAAAAAGCTTCTACAAACAGTTTGGGGATTTTTTAAAAAACATCTATTTGGAGAAGGATAATGGCCCAGGCACAAAATGTTTGCTTTTTGAGGGTGAAGAACCACATGTATTCAGGTTCAAGAAAACAAAACAGTCATCCTTCAAAGTTACTTTGAAAACAGAATGAAACAATTAGATCCAAGAGTCATATGTTACATCAAATATCACATACTTGCATAGATAAAATTTGGAGTTAATTGCATTTTCATAAATACACCCAAAAGAGAAACAGTACATTTTACATCATCCCAATTTTCCCAAGTCCTGTAAAATACTGCCTTCAGCTGCTATTGCTGAAAAAAATTCATGCAGAAGAACAGAAAGTCAGTATAAAGGCCAAAGAAAAAGGACAGTCGAATATAACCTGACTTTAAAGAGCAATACCAATTAAAAAACTCAGTATGAGACCAGAAACCAACATACCATATTTGGGCATCAAATATTATCCATGATTTGTTTACTTAATTTCAAAAACACTTTGCTTGCTCTAGCCCTTTTTCTTGTGCATGTCATTTAACAAATATATCTCCAAACTTCCCCATCCATTTTCAAAGGCCTCACCACCCTAATCAAGCTAGCCAAGATCTTTGGCCTTACAGAGACATGAATTTTGTTTGACTGTTGTTATACTATCTCATGCTGGGTCCAATTCAGTTTCTTCCATCAACATTAAAATCCATTTTCTACTTACGCTGACTCACACTAAGAGTGGGAATGCAACACCATGATGCCACAGGAATGTAACCTAACTATTGGAAGAATCCTAAGGACACAAATGCACAACACAGTGACCATGATCATACCAAAGCTCACTCATCTTTACACGGCTTTCTGAAGCTACATTTCATCACTGATATTTTCCCACATGAAACATTCCTGAAAAGAACTAATTCCTGAAAACCCAAAAGCTACTAAGTTTTGGCTATTTCTCCCTACTGGAATGGAGTCAGGAGCCTACAGGCTGTAGGACAGGGAGCTAAAATAACTCAAAGAAGAGAATGACAATTAAGAAAAAGTATTTTGAAGGCCAGCTGCAATTCCCAAATGGAAAACTTTGCAATGATTTCTGAAAACACTGCATCAGGCGTTAAGTGTTCAGTTTCTCTCTTTGCTACAGAGCAAGGATGACAAAATAAGAGCCAATCTTAAGATCGAAGAAAAAAACAAGTCTACCTTTAACTCAGAGCAGTGCATAGATTTCTCCTGCTTTGCCAAGACTACAGACACTATAGTAGGAAAACAATGTAGCATTTCTTTTCAAAATTGTAGGGGGGGATAAAAAGTCTTAAAAATATCTTGTAAGAGGTTTTTACTCTAGAAAAAAAAAAAAAAGGATTAAAAAAGGTAGTAGTTGACAAAAAAGAACCTGGCTTCATGTTTTAGCTACTGATTTTATAACCTCTGCCTCAAGAATGATCTCCCTCTCTGTCAAAATACTACAATGCGATAGCCAAAGGTTACTACATGTACACGTTAAAAACAGTAATGTTAGTAGTTTGTGGACTTAAAAGTAGTTATGAAATGCGAGAAAGTTTACAATCACAGATATATACACAAAAATTATCAAAGCTCAGATTACTGTGACTGTAAGCTTTCTTGTGGTACAGAACATTAATAACATATTTAAGCATTAAACAGAAAAAGATGCATACATGTAATTAGTTAGTTACTGTGTTCTTTTTACATTTCCAAATTGGGACATTGCAAAGTTAAATTTTAATGTTCTTTTGTTAGTTTTTGGAAAAAGAAAATGGAAAGCCAAGCAAACAACAAACCTCAGAAACAAAATCTTCAGAGCAAAAGTTTTCAGTTGGTACCTCCCACTCCATATTCAGTTTCTGAAGGACCATCATGCAGCAGCAATCTGGTTAGAAGCAAGCAGCCAACGGGTGTGTAATTTGCATGTGAAAATATTTTTAGAAGACACACATGAATAGCATATGTTCTCAGCCTGAGCACAATCTTCTAAATATATGCCCTGAATATTATTTCCTCAACATGGGTAATTATTTTCCAGATAATGATTCCTGATACAGATATGTTACTCTCTGAAAACAACATATATATCTCAAGCCTTAAACAACACTAATTTTAGAGTTCACCTGGGGGGCTGGGGGAGAGCCTCTACATGATTAAATTTTCTCTTCCACATCTGAACATAATAACAAAAAAAGATGGGTTTTTTTCTGTTACATGCTTAATTACTTGCTTAATAGAACAGGCTTTCATCATGGAAAGTGCCCCTTCCAGATATGCCTTTTAGAAATATTATAATAAACTGTTTTAAAGTCTTTACGGCCAATGTAATGATAAAGTTGGCAAATTATGCTTGAAAACAGAGAATACCTTAATTCAGTAAGTTAAATAGATACGTATGTTCACTCACCTGAACCAAAGCAGCTTCAAAATTATATGAGAAAACCCCTCTGCTCTTCCTATGTTAACAAAAAACAGTTTAAAAAGGTAAAGATGAAAGTCAATAAGACCAGAAATAGGCCATGTGCTAATACATTGTTAGTTAAATCTAAACCACATCTAGTCAAACTGACACAACATGCTGGAGAGAACCCGCATGAGCAAACAGCAGTCTAACTAGATCCCAAAGTCATTACCAGCCGCATCTGGAACACCCAGACCAATTCCTGGTGACTTTGGAGTTTGCATCGTGTAGTAATTATTACTTTAGGATGGTTTTACTCAGGCCAAATGAAGTTCTATTGTATTCTGAGATGAAAAAACTCAGTTTCTTGTCTTTGCCAATGTGCAAACTCTGTTCCTTGAGCACATGGGAAAACTCAGGTCTGGATTCTATCTTTGGCCCAGGCTTTCCTTTATTTAAGTTGAACACCAGGGAGGGATGCCAGTAAATTATACGGTGGTACTTAGCAGTATATAGAAAATACCTGAAATTATAGAATGGTTTGAGTTGGAAGGTCACCTAGTCCAACGCCCCTGCAATGAGCAGGCACATCTTCAACTAGTTCAGGTTGCTTACACTCTCATCCAACCTGACCTTGAATGTTTCCAGGAATGGGGCATCTACCACCTCTCTGAGCAACCTGTGCCAGTGTTTCACCCCCCTCATCATAAGAAAAAATTTCTTCATTATAGCTAGTCTGAATCTATGCTCTTTTAGTTTACCCTATAGCTACAGACTCTAGTAAAAAGTCGGTCCCCAAATGGAAGTTAACTTACAAAAAAAGCTGGGGGGAGGGCAATACGAGCAGGAAAAATATCTACTTCATCATTCTACAGCACAAACACATACACACAAGCAAACAGCTTTTACCACATAGCTGTTATGCAGTATGCACTTGAAAAAGAAGCTTACGCTTGGTGGAAGCCCAAAACAAAATAAAAAGGACCCTAGTTACCCCTGGGAAAAGTAAAAATGTAAACTGCAATGAAAATAAGCTAAAAATTTATCCTTTAAATTACTAAACAGAGCATATATTAATTGTCATACATCCAAACACTGTATTTAAACCATAAGTAAGTATTACTAGGGCTAAAAACACATTACTCAGTGAATCCTAAAATACCTTGTAAAATCACTGCATACATACAACCACCTAATGAATCTACTTAACATTTTTCAGTGGATTGCATTATTTGACCATTTTTAACAGTCAAACTGAGCCACCGAAAAAGAGATTGAATACACACTGCATTTGATACGTGTGTAGAAACACCAGTCTCAATGACTGCAGAGCTGGCCAGTTCCCTCTCCTACTCAACTTACCCAAAAACGCTTTACACTCCTGATGCAAGTACATAGAAAAAAATACATTCTCCACAATGAAAGCACTAATGAATCAAAACCCAAGATCAATCTAAAAGAAGCACTCCTCACAAAACTATCACCAAGTTTCATCACAATCTTTCTCCAGTCAGGCAACTACTTCCACCAATACAGCAAAAATACCCTAAAATGTTAATTCAAGCTTTGAAACATTGCTGTATTAAAGAAACTAAAGAAATAGCTGCAGCAAAAAGCTAGATTACAGACGTTACAATGGAGCCATCATCCTAAGAGATGATTTCATGATGTAAATCATACAATTCTAAACGTCTTTTAAAAACGCAGCTGGCGTCAGGAGCGCAGAGGCATACAGTACAGGAGCAGGCATTTTCCATGCTATCACTAGAACAATTTCCTGACTCATTCCATCCTCCAGCCCCGGGGACCAGGCTGGCTTGGTCCACGCTGACAGCCTTCTTGACGTAACTGAAGCAGAGCCTTGACCTAAATGCCGTTGCTGTTGAGCTCCTTGCAGCCCAGGCTCAAGGAAAACGAGCCGACAGGGACTCCAAAGCTAGCATCAATCACTCGAGACACATCAGCCCGAGACTCCCGACTGCAGAGACGCTTGTTGGGACCGAGAGCCCCACATCGCCTCAACCCCTTGAGACTGAAACCTCCAAAAAACAACTAACTGCAAGGCAGACTCTAGGCTGACCAAGAGAAAGCATTTTCAAAAGGGAGCCCGCACATCACCGCAGCCGGTGAGGAGAGAAAGGCAAAACTCGAGGTACCGAACCTCGGACCGGGTTAAACCACGCCCTGGGCGTGATTTTAAGCAAGTGGTCAACGAATTGCAGATTAATCCACAACTCCCTGCCCCGAGCAAGGCGCGGAGGCACGGCCAGGAGAAGGCGCGGCTGTGGGGCAGCAGCACCGTCCATCCCGGTACCGGTCGGGTGCTGTGGGGCACAGGGCTGCCGCCCTTCACCCCTCCGACGGGCCGGGGGGGAGCAGGTGCGGGCCCCCTCCTTGCTCAGGCGCCCGGGGAGGCGACGGAGGGACGCGGCCTCTCGCAGGGCCGTCCCCCACGCAGGGCGGGCGGGCCGCGGCGCGCATCGTCCCCTCCCACCGCTCCGCGGGAGGGAGCGCGGAGGAAGGGCCGCGGGGACGGGGGGGTGGGGAGGGAGAATACCTCAGGCGCTGCTCGCCCCGCCGCCGCGCGGCCCTGCTCCCGCCCGCCGCCGCTGCTGCCTGCCGGGAGCGGAGCGGGGCGGGGCCGACCGGGCCGGCATGGCGGCGGGGACGCACCGGAAACTGCGCAGCACCAGCGGCGG